GGGGGGGTGGCAGGGGGGGTGTTACTCAGCGCCCCCTTGGCAATTAAAATTTCCATCCTACAGCTTTTAATCCAGGATAAAGTGTGGATACCTGGTGTTGTAGTCCACCTGGGAGATTCCAGCCATCTGGACAATGAACCCGGCCAGATAACACAGTGGCCTCTCAAATAGAAGTTGCAGGAAGAAATTGCTTTCTGTGTTCCATGGCATGTTTTATGTCTCAGGGAAATACTTGGAATATTTTTGGAAAGCACCTGGGCAAAAGATTGCTTTTTGTTTTCTATTTTGTGCCACTGTGCAGCGTTGAGAAAGAGGCCAAGTTGTTCCTGCGGCTTTGCTTATTTACATTCCTCCCGAAAGCACTCTCACCGAGAGTCCATCTCTGTACTCCACGGGGCTGTAATTCTAGACATTGGGCTCTATGGTTCTTGACCCAAATTCCGCATCAGCAAAGACCAGGCTGCTATGATGGGAGAGAAAGCAGAGTTGGTGTCCAGCTCAGGGGTTTCTCTCTCTGCTCAAGTGTTTTGAGTAGTTCATTATTAGGATACTTACCCAACCTCTCCGTCCTTTTTTAAAAGAAAAGTTGCTCCTTTTTGCTAAATTCCCATCGCGACAGCATACCCATGCCAAATGAAAATTAAATGCAGTAGTTATCCGGTTTAAGATGTTTTCCTGAGGTATATTCACTTAATATTAGATGATTCTATTAATAACATAAAATATTTTAGTGCTTCATTTGGTTGGCTAGGTTTCTTTCTCCTGTCATACTTAATGCTTCCCAAATTTGGACTATTCGTTAGAATCAACATGAGAAACCTTTACAAATGCTGTTACGTATAACTTTTAAGACTATGTGCCCTAGTCAAATGTTGATAAAAACCGCCCCAACCACTTAAGGTGGCTTTAGAAAAAGGAATTTGCCATAAGGATTCAGGGATATTTATCTGGGAAGCTGTGGAGCGGAAGTGCAACTGGATCTCATGAGGGACCACAATTGAGGGAAACTCAAGAACTAAATATGTTCTGTCTCCAGGGATTGTGTGTGTGTGTGTGTGTGTGTGTGTGTGTGTGCACGCGCGTGCGCATGCGTGTGCATTTCTACGTATCTTTGTCTCCGAGCCTCTGTCCCCCTCTCCTTTTATTTCATCTTACACTTCTCTTTGACGTCCCTAACATTTCTCACCCTCAGCATCACTTACCTTCTGTACTCTTCCTCCCTCTGTGTCTTTTCTTGTGGCAAGTGTGTATGTACAGGACTGTGTTTCTATTTAATTGTCTAAGGGAAGTTTATGCTCTAG